TCGGTGAATCCTTAGATGTTAGGAACATGCAACAACTCCAAGAGGTTACAGGTGGTCCTTTTCAGGATCGAACAAGGATGATTGTGATAAAGCCCCTCATGCTCAATCTGCGTTTCAACCCGGAAGCCCTCGCCACTTAATCAAACCCTCAAGCCCTTGAACCCGAAAACCCCGAGCCCAACCCCTATATGCAAACCCAAGAGTAGTTCCACAACAGGCTTTGGGTCAAGCCAAAATTACGTAGCCTATGTAATTGAGGCGTAGAAGCGGATGACATGTCGATGATGATGCCGGCATGGTAGACGCAGACCACATACAAGAGGATTTAGGGTTTCGGGTTGAAGGCTAAGAATTTCGAGTTCAGATTTTAGAGAGTACAGTCCAGGACCCGCCTTGTACCCTTGAATTGGTGGTATATGGCCCCTATTTAGGGTATATAGAATGTAGATACAGGGTCTAGGCACACAAGTCCAGGATAAGATATGAGCCAAAACTCTTCTTTGATTTCTTTTTGCCTTACAAGACCGCAGAACTAAAATATACAACCCGGTATAGAACATTAGTGTCAACCGCGATAGCAGTGTAGGGGGATTATGGGTGACTATTCGGAGTGATTGACGGCATAGAATAACAGTGTCACCCACAATCGCAAATGTAGGGGACTATAGGCGATTACTTGGATTGTCTTCCAGGAACATGCGTTCTGCTGAATCCAGAGAAAACAATGTCATCCTTCAATCCAGGCTTCTTTCCCCAAAGTGAATAAACATAAACACTTCAAGGAGCTATCTAAGCAACCTGGCTGGCCAATGATGTAAGATAATATTCTTAGGGGCGCCCAGAATACAAAAATCACAGAAATCGAGGCCAGTTCTATGATTCTATGGTAGTGAGCTTAAGTTAACTCAGTGGAAATTCCAGCTGAGGGGTAGTCTTTTTGTCTCACGAATAGATGTGGCCCGTAGTCCTACTACGTTACATGTATTGGCAATAGGCCTGTTGAGTTGAATCATCTAGCAGATGAACAACTGCGAAGATGCTGGCTTGAGAGAAGTGTTCGTCTAAAGAATGGGCACTTCATTGTAATCCGTTGTGGCTACTTGAATTAGGCAAGGCATATTCATATACATTGAGTACTGGAGTGATTAGAAGTCAAGGGCCAGCCCCCCCCAAATAAAGTTATGGAGTTCTGGAGTATTCTATGGAGACCCCCTAAAACTGCCCTTCCCAAAATCAAGAGACACAAAGAAAACAACAACAGTTTCCTGCAGAACCAGCAAGACATATAAACAAAGCAATACCTGGCAAACCAAAACGACAACAACGACGACAGCAAGAGCAGCAGCAGCAGAAGCAGCAGCAACCAAAAAACAAACCCTCAAAACCAGCAAACACGACAAACAACACCAATTTCCCGAAGTCTTAGTGCGGAGCTATGCCAGGACGGATTTTTGGAAGACGTCTATGCGTGCTTTCTTCTCATGCGTGTGTGTTGTTTGTTGGATGTTTCTGGGATTGTCAGCTTTGTCTTTTTGAGCATTGGGTTTTCTGGCATTGCTGGGTTTTTTTTTGTTTGGTATTGCTTTTTGGTTTGTGGGAGAATTTGTACACAGGTTTAGTTTTGGCCCCATAGAATTCAACAGACTACAGGCCTGTAAAGTCTATTGATAATTCCCACTTCCCTCAAAGTTATCGACCTCCAGGAGTCGTGTATGTCATATGTCGGTTTAGGAGCTTAACTCGGCCCCTGCTTTTTTACACATTCCTTGTATGCATTTCAATTACTGTATAGAATACCTTATTCAATATGCTATAGAATACCATATAGAATACCATATCATATATGTAAGGGTCTATGTATGGAAAATCAAAAGGAGCCCAAGTTCTGAGAATTTTCCAATTCAATTGCAGCTCATTGAGTAAAAGGTTTTGAATAAAAAAAAAAAGAAATCAGGAATCTAGGAGACTGACATATGGGATACCTTACAGAATACCCCCTCTATATACCTTCAGTAATTTAATCTAGGCAACACTAGGTAGTACCTTATAGAACACCCCATATATAACTTAAAGATTACCCTATAGCCTACAGAATACATTATAGAATACCCTACAAAAACCAACTAGATATACCTTATAGAATACTTTCTGGAATACTGTATAGAATAGCCTTTAGAATAGGTTATAGAGTACTGTATACAATAACCCCTATATACTCTATGTATACCTTATATAATACTAT